ATTGTTTCTCGCGGTGCTCGATCGTTTGCAGGCGCTTGAAACGGAGAAACGTTGCTAAAATCTGAACTCTCGTTCCGTTGATTGAATATTACTTAAAAATCGGACATATGACTTGGTCCGGTCTGACTTGTTAACCGGATAAGACTTCTGTAAAGCCGATCAAAACCCTGCACAGTTGGCAACCCTAGGCGGAACGTAATCCTCGCGAGGGCGGCGCGTTTCAGCGTGGCCCTCGCGAGTAAGTTCGTCCCCGGGAAGTAACGGCGGCCCGGCGGGCGGATTAGAGGGCCAGGTGAAAAATGCCAGACCTTAACGAGGTTCGCTCGTTCGTTCGTTCGTTCGTTCGTTCGTTCGTTCGTTCGTTCCGTCGGAGGCAGCAGACCACACCTTAATGTATTTCGTGTACCCGATCAATTTGGATCATTGCTCCGTCCCATTGTGCTCGACGTGGCCTTTCAATTAAGGCCGACAATGCTCTAACGTCCTATTGCGACCTCGGTCTAACGGTCACTTGGATACCACCCACCTCTACGTCCGCCGCGATGCGCAGAGAGAATTCCCGGCGAATTTTCGGAGCGGCCACTTTTCGAGCGAGAGCATCTTTCGCTCTCACCAAAGTGAGAGATCTCCCCATGTAGCGATCGGTATTAGGCTGCTGCAAAGACAATTGCGATTTTTACGTGCATGAAGATGCACGTACATATCATTACTCGAGTCAAAAATCATATTTACCGATGAAAATAAAGACCGCTGGCCTGCGCACGTTTCTCCCGACGTGAGGCAAGTTTATTCCAGCGAGATAACATTCTGGAAGAGGTGACGGTAAAACTCTCTAGAAAAATCGGCGTCAAATTAAAAACCGCAATCATTGTCGCACCAACCTAATACCTCGGCGTGTTTGAAGATCTGGTTACTGAGAGTCTTGCTTCAAGGATAGAGTCCCCCCCCCTCCCCCCTCTCCGATTCTCCGCCTCTTCTGCCCGGTGTCGGGAGGATTTCCATTCTCCCGAGGATTCATTCCCGTCTCCGAGGGAATTCAATTCAGAACCTTCAACCAAGAGAGACGTTGCGCGTCTCTCGTACGCGAGCGTAGACGTGCGGTCGTCGAAGTCGGCCGGAAAATCGCTGCGACGCGACACGCGCGAGCGATGACGTCGCTCGCGCAAAATAAATGGCAGCTACGAGCGCGGCGGCGTTCCGTGACATTAGTTCGACTGAAAGGGAGCGCGTGGGTGCCTAACGTAGATTGAGCAATGGGACACCGTGGCGCCTAACCGTGTGTACCGACTAGGTCGTTGCTATGGGAGAAAGTCTCGTGATAAAGTCGTGGGGTTGCAACCCTAGCCGGAGCGCGGATACCGGCGTGTAGCGGGCCGCCATTAATCCAGATTCATGGGCTCCCCCCCCCCCTCCCGTCGTCCGTAGTCGCGCTGTCGGTGTGCGTGCGGGAACGCCGCGACGATTATCACCCACCCTGCATAATCGCATGGTGGTCGTCTTGTCGCCTTGCTCTCGGGCGATCGTCCAAGCTGATCCTTGGAGCCGAGGAGCCAGCCGTTAACCCGTGAACTTCGCCGCCGAAGGTAGCCCTCGAAATGCCCTCGAGCGGATCTTCGAAGAGAAGCTCGAGGAGTGCCAGGGAGTTAATCAACGTGCGACAGACTTGCAAGCTTAACCGATTCCTGTTAACTCGATTGAATCTGTTAACTTGTCGACTTGCTTCCGAGGATCGCGCCTCGCCGATGATGATGTAGCTTCGCTACTCCGCCTTCTTCGCGCAAGTCCGTCGCACCGCGATGATAGATTTGTCGCCGCGTTGGGATGCGCGGAGTTTTTCTCGGCGGTTTTCCTCGATTGAAAGGTTGAACGGCTATCGATCGGCATCACGGCGGATCGAATCGTCTTAAAAAGAAAGGTATTTTATTTGCAAAGTGGTTTTTTTCCCCATAGTCTCATATTCCGTGAGTGAAGCTTCTTACAGAAAAGGGACTCCTCTTTCGATTAGAGCGATTAAAGTGACGCATTCATCTAAAATTTATCAGGTATTATTCTATTTTTCTCTTATTTCAAGAGGATTTCCTCTTATATCTCAATTGATTTTTTCCTCTTGTATGAAGAGGGATATGTTGATTTGAATGTCGGCTTCTTTTCTTCAGTTATGCTCTACTTAGCTCCAAACACGAACGAAAAAATTATCGTATGTTCATGGATCGGAATATTTGGGACGCTTTTTAAAAAGGGCGTTGCTGCTGTGACATCATATAACGAATATAATTTACCCATATTCGGTCAAATACAATTTATAATCTATTGCAAAAGGTTGAATAATATATTCTTCCTTTTAACTACTTTTCGTACAATTGATCACGATGAACATGTCTCTGCAGCTATCAAGTCCATAGCAAAACTAATTGGAAATTTGTTTGTTATGATGATTTCACTCTACTTGTTGTAGAACTGGAGCCAGAAGTGCATCTAAATATATTATTTCTCGTTATATATTATAATAATTTTTTTCAAATTAACCAGTATAACCGATAAGAATAAAGTGCAGTAAGAATAAATAATAATCCACCTCAGAGGAGATCAAATAATCTGTGTGTACAAGAGGTAATTTATATTAAAATCAACAACATTTGCATTATACATGTGACATATAATCCCTCAAACTTTAAGGATAATGCGTTTATAATATCTTCCTCTTAATCTTCGAGCAAATCCTCTTGAGGCTGTATGTAAGAATAAAATCCTCTAAAGAATTTAAACGACTCCGCTTGTTCTGAAATCACTTCTTTCGGGGTGAATATGAAGTTTGGGCCGCAAACATCTATTCGTTTCGTCGTCGAGACGCGCACGATCGTACAGCGCGCGGATCAAGATCCGACAAAGTGATCGGCGGGCGATGCCGCGCTCGCGAGATGCGATATTATCGGAGCGTTATTGGCACTTTAAATTCGCATGCAATTAGTCGTGGCTGCTTTTCGGCGGTTTCTCTCTATTCCGGGCAGAAACACGAATCTGCCATTCGCCGGAGCTGGACGCCATTAGCCGCGCGTATCGATTTTGTCTCGAATTGCACGGCGCGCGCGACACGGCGGTTGGACGAGTCACTTAATAAAAATTCAGCGGTCTCGCGGGGCGCGACCTCGACGGGTCGCCGTAATGGCAATTTAAAATAATCAATTAGCAGCTTGGCGCGCGCGCGCGCGCGCAAAGTGGCAATTTCAGGTACACGCCGCTCTCGCGGCGACCGCAGAGCCGCGCGATCGCGATCAATCATCCGCGAGTGCCGGCGACTCATAACGCTTTTCCGAGTTTTACACCGAAACGACGCCGCCGCGATCTCCGGCGCGGCAAACGATGATCGAGCGGTCGTAATTCGCCAAAGTGCCGGATATGCCTTCACCGCCTATTCCGTTCCTCTCGTTCCCTTTTCTTCTTCTTCTTAGCGGGCGCACTCGTAACCCACGACCACGTAACCGAGTTCGCTCGACTCGTGCGCGCGACCCATTTTTTTCTCTTCCGCCGGTCCGCCCCTTCCCCCTCCTCCTCCTCCTCCTCTCTTTCTCACTCCAAGTCCGAGCAGGGCGTGGTAGCTTTTGCCATAGCATCGCGGCTGAAATCGAACGGCGTGTATAACGCCTTAGCGTGAAGACGTGCCTCTGAAAAACGGGGTAAACTGGCGTCGGACACGCACACGGCACGCGGAGCGACCGGGGGCCGTCGTCGCTCTCTTTCTCTTTCTCTTCCTCTGCCGTTGTCGCCGTAATCCTGATTTCGCGACTCGCCGATGTGACAACGATGTCGCATCTAATTATATCGAATGATAACAGGCGTATCCGTATTCGCGTGTGAGTTCGACGTTGAAGCCGCCGCGCCGCGGCAGATCGTTCGATTGTTATTTTATTTCATCGACGACGACGACGACGAGGACGAGGCCTGATGGCGAGAGGAAGCTCTCTCCATTGTTGAAAAGGGTGGTACGGGGTCGCGTATTATTAGAAAGCCGGTATGCGTGTAAGCCTCGTTTATGCGGGGCGCGCGTCCCGAAATCGGGCGCGGTCGTGCACTAGAAATCTAATTTCGACCGCCCGATCGACCCCTCTCGCGCGCGCGCGCGGCCGATCGGTTTGTGGTTTCAGCGAGATAGAGATAGAGCGGGAGGGAGAGAGAGAGAGAGAGAGAGAGAGAGAGAGAAGGAGAGAATCCCAAATTGCTGCTTCCAACGGGGGAAAACGAGTTACAGCTGGCTGAGCGCGCGCGGTCCGTCGACGAATTAACGGGAACGCGGTTTGATCGTCGCGTACTCAAACTATCGGAAACAATTGATCGTGTGTGTGTGTGTGTGTGTGTGCATGTACGACGACCCAATTGACGCGCTCCCGCCGACTGTGCCTCGCGCGAAACGCGAAGGTGTGGACCCGCGGCGATGGCGCGCCATTGTCTGCGCCATCGCGGTCGTAATTTTACGGAGCACCGACGATCTCTGTCGCTTTCGTCGTTCCTCTCCGGCGCGTTTATTCCGCCGCGCGTGGCGACGATAATTATCGGTATTGCGACGGTAACGGTAATTTCGCGGACGGACTCTCGGGAATGAATCGTATACGCTGCGCGACCGCGCGACGTCGAATTCGTCGCTCGGATCAACGAAGCGACGCGCGGTGCTCATCCGCGCATGCCGGAGATTGCATTAATTAATTTTATATTTATATTCATATTCGAGTCACGTTAAGTCACTTGTTTACATTGAACTAATTCGCATCGGTCGATGTAATTTGTTTGCGTACGATTAATTGTCGCGTCTAATTATATCGAATAAACGGCGCATCCCATGGCGGTCGCGTGTGCGTTCAACGTCGAAGCCGCGCAGGCAGATCGTGAAGGTTTGATTATTATTTTATTTTATCGTCGATGTCATTTTGCAGTTAAGCTCCGTTCCCACTTTCCCGTTGGAGATTATCTCAGCTCGTCACGTACGCGTACGTTGCTGACTGTTTCAGGTCTGTGTCAGCCGACCAAGAGCACGGAGGACGAGAATTACGAGGACGATCTGCCCTTGGACGAAGAGGAGGATGACGACGAGGACATCGAGGAAGGCGATATTCTCGGCGCCGTCGGCCCACCGCCGCAAATCTTATCGACGCCCGCGAGTGTTCGCGTAGTGGAAGGGAATACCGCTATGTTACCCTGCGACGTGATCCACGCAGGTTTGTAGAACAACGGCGATCCTTTGCTATTCGCCGAGGTCGCGATATATATAATTTACCGAAGGGAAAAGAAAGCCAGCCGCCCGTGTGTGCCGCTCGGCAGGATCGCGCCGCAAGTGTGTGACAGCCACGTAAGCAGCACGAGACGTAAAATGACAATTAAGTAAAATGTGTGTAATCAGTCTTAATTGCGATAACGTCTTCCTGCGACAACTCTGCGCCAAGTCTTATCGCGTGAAACGACATTCTTCAACGACGTTGAGCGTCACGCTAACCGTCTCTCACGCGGACCGCTCTCGACCATTTCAACAAAAGTTTGAATAATTACGCGTGATAAACACGCGCGCGCGCATGCTTCCCGAATATTCTTGCTGGACAAGTAGACTTTATTGGCCCCTATTGGCCGCGCGTTTAATTTCATTAGCGGCGCAATTAGTCACGCTTTATGTGTAAATTAATGAGGCGCGGTAAAATCATAGTCCCCGCGGCGGAGACCCCAGCGTGCGTTAATCAAGACGACCCCCCCGAAGACACACGCTGCACACACACACACCGCCCTGTTCGATCTGTTGCAGAGAGCTACGCGACCGCGTGGATGAAGGACAAGGAGTATCTGTACGTCGAGGCGGATCCGCATACGCAGGACTCGAGGATCGTCCGCTTGCCGAACAACACTCTGATGATCTACAACGCGTCGGTCAACGACTCATCCAACAATTACCAGTGCATCATCATCCACAAGCAGAACATCGTGCTCACCCACCGTCTGCGGGTCGACCCCAAGTCCGCCGCTACGACCCCGCCGCAGCCTGCGCCTCCGCGGTATACCACGACGCCGAAGCCGGTCATCCCGTCGCAGCACTCGCACCGGAGTCTCATACGCGTGACACCCATGAAGAAAATCGAGGCGAACCCGGGACAGAGCATCACGTTCGGCTGCGAGACGAACATTCAGCCCCCGCCTGAGATCAAGTGGTTCGTCGAGGTAAAACGCCAAGTCCCGAGCCACAATGGGTGTAGAAGTAAGCCCGCGATATCTCGCCCGGAGCCCGAAATTGCGACTGAATGCTCGGCCAGAAGCGTTCCCCGCTGCTGCCTGAGGTCGTGATCCTTGAACTTTAAGCGAACTCGCTAGACTCCAACTGTTGAGGCAACGTGGGAGAGAGATGGTCTTTATCAGAAATTGTAGGACCCGGAGCAAACTGCTAAACTCCATTACACCTATTGTAAACCGGGCTTAATGTAGCTGTTGAGAGTACAAGATATCGCCGGATATGTTATTCACCTTATTTTTATTTATCATCTTATTTTATTATGTTGGAAATTATAGCAATTTTGTGTAATGTTGCTTGGTCATTATCATGGAGGCATTAATGTCGAGTGTATAGTGATCTCAAGTGTCGACGGTACCGTCGTCGCGATGAAAGACAGGGTTGGGGAAAAGAAAACGAGAGAGAGAGAGAGAGAGAGAGAGAGAGAACCTGATCGATTCTATTCCGTCTCTTTTCGCAGAGCAAAAAGCTGGACAACTACGACCCCGACGTGGTGTTGAACGGCAATTTCATCACGATAAAGAAAGTGAAGAAGTCGCACAGCGGTCGGTATCAGTGTCTCGCCGAGGACGGCTCCAAAGAGCCGGCGATGGAAGCGATCACCGTCGTTGTGCACTGTGAGTTAATCGCCGTTGGCTCGATCGCCATTCGAGCGGACGAGCCGTGGCTGTTTCTTAAGTCAGTCGTCCAGCCGGCTTTGATTACTGTCCATTTTCCACAAGTGTGTTCACACCGCCGATTAATGCGTTCGTCTTTGCGACAGACCGACCTGAGGTGGAGGCGAAGAAGAGCATGGTGCACAGCGGCACCGGTGTCGAGTCGGAGATGATGTGCATCGTGAGCGCTTATCCGAAGGCCATAATAAAGTGGTACAAAGACGACAAGGAGATCACGCAGAAGAAGGGATCGGCAGTGTTGTATCACGGGGAAATGAAGGGGAACAGGACCAAGTACATCCTGAGGATCCTGCACACCACGGAGCAGGACTTTGGCGAGTACAAGTGCGTCGCGCAAAACACTATCGGTCGAGACTCCGAAACTATCAGACTCACAGGTAATCGTCGCTACGTCAGGCGCGAAATATGGCGGCAGTCGCGCGTTGTTTCGCGTAAGATTGATGCGTGGAATATCGGGTGAGCGCAGGAGTTTGGATGAATTTCGCGATAGAAAAATAGACCAAGTAATTTTATCAAAAAGTATATTCGTTCTACCGAGTGTGTCTCGCTGTTGTCTTCAATTATTTTTGATATACCATATATATATATATATATATTTGTCACTATATTAGAGGTTTGTTTTCTATTGCTGAACTGGCTGCACTAACTTGCACTTATTCTTTCCTTGTATCCCTTTCACTAACTCCTAGATGTATATCTATTTCTTTTTATGTTCTCTGAGTGTACACTAGTTCAGCGATAAAAAACAGACCTATGGTATACTATATATATTTGTACTATATATGTGTGTTGGATCAGTAACTGCATCAGTGGCGACATCTTTGAGAGAAGTCTACCGAAACTTGCACTCACCCAATATATGTAGTGTAAAAAATATATGAAACTAATTGTATGTAATAATATGTATAATTAACGATAAATAAATAAATACTCCTTTTGTCAGGTGTACCTTCGCAAGCGAAACTATCGGGCGCTGAGATGACCACTGATGATACGGGAATAATTCTCAGATGGCGTCTAGAGAGTTACTCACCGATCAGCGAGTACAAGGTAAGTATCCTTGTTCAATTATTTAACCATTTACGTAGAATCCTCGCAATGTGTGAGACGTGTACATATCATAGACTTACATACATAGACCGTGCCTTCTTATGAGAGAAATTTGGAGACTAGATATAAAAGATATAAAAGACAATTCTCTTTTTCTTCCATTATCCATAGGCATATGCCATCTTTGTCTGGCCTTCTCCGAGAAGAATGAAGCTAGACAAAGCATGAGTGCCTGTAGCACAGGTCATCTTTTTTACACATAGTTTTCGCTTTGCTTTTTATAAAGTGCTCAGTCTATGTGCGCTCAATCTGGTGGATGCCTCACCATTGATAGATTGATACTTATTAAAAAACGTCACGTTAATAGGTTCCCGATTTTTGGATTAATTGACAGTCACAAGGAACGCGTAGTAAGAAATTATGAAGCTGGCCGAAATCTTTTAGTAATTATCAATTTATTGATATTCTAATCAATGGCGTCTCTACTGGACTGACAAATACACAAATCTATATATATATAACTTATATATACATATATAACATATATATAAACGCATATATAAACAAAGACAATTCTTTTCTGCAATTTGCAGCTACAGTATCGTCGCAAAGGCGAGGAGAACTGGAGCACCGCCGCACCTGAAGTGAAGAACGGTAGAGGAAATCAATTTACCGTGGAGTATCCGATTGAAGCACTTGAGCCTGTATCCTACGAGGCGATCCTCACATCTAGAAACTCCTTCGGATGGTCCCCACCGTCCGAACCGCACATGTTCACCGGTGGTACGTTAGCTAAATGTTGTCTATTTCTTCTCTTTTCATTTATTTTTTTTTTCATTAGAAACCAATATGAAGAGTATTGTCTCAACTAGAATTAACAAGTACGATTGATTAGTAAGGAAAAAGTAATTCTTTCTCTTTTCAGATTACCCGCCCGAAATGGCACGGAAAGGTATACGCACGCGCTAATTTTATCATCAAACGTGCCTTATTTAAGGAGGTTCCTTTGATCGTCAGTTTTAAATTTTCTGTGTGTTTACAGAGGAAAGCAGCTCGGCAGCTATCCAAATTCGACCGCTCGGAGCTCTCTTAGTGTCGATCCTAGTCGTTTTATCTTGTGCCTTCACAAGTCTGTAACTTACTTAAACTCTGTAAACTACGTAGGTGGGTGAACTGTAATATCGCTCTCAAATTGTTATTTTCACCAATTAATTTATAATTAATTTATTAATTCTATATATATATATATATATATATTTGTTAAATAAAGAGAGAGACAATATATTATTAACCGATTCGTTTATGTTGCAGGTAATTTGCTGCAGCCAAAGCATACACCAGCAAACGTCATGGTGGGTTTAATAAAGTAAGAACACTTAGGGGAGAGACGCACGCACGCACGCACGCACATTAATCGGGTGCGAACTTCATCCGGATACGTCCTGCAGTTTTCCGCGCAAGCGCTATTTGTAACTTACGTTTTAAATTTTTCTCGAGCGGGCATTATCATGCAAAGTGTACAAGTGAATTATACTGTATTGTTACATATGACTTTGTATAGCCGGAATTCTTTAGATTAGTATTTTTTTACGTTGCGTGTGGCGCACGCGCGCGCTCACACACACACACACACGCACAGAGCTCGCCTAGGTGTTCCGTGAAAACGCGTTGTAAAGGAAAGGAAACGAGCATTTCAATGGTACTCCGTGGAACAACGGATAATTATTAAGGGGTATTGTACTTTAAAATAGACGTATATATTTATATCTATCTCTCTATCCATCTATCTCTCTTTCTCTCTCTATATATATATATATATATATATTATCTATCTATCTGCACAGGCGCACACACAGTTTCTTACGCATGCAATACGTAGGCGGCGTCGTGTGTGCGCGTGTAACGTGTACACGTAACATAGTATTCACTGTACATGCGTAAGAACTCAGAGATACACAATCATTATTATAATTTATTTTTGTATGCTTAAGATTATATTAGAGACACGTGTTCAGAAACGTCACGCTTTCGGTGCCATTTACACACGGCCATGTACCCTCCCTCACGAGGAATTATGTACATTCGTTTGCGCAACGATTTGCACGCGTTTTTTTCTTCTTTTTTTATTCTCAATGAAATTTTCAGTGAAATTGTTCACGTTCCTTTGCACGATAATCGGTTATGACGAAAGCAGCAAGACAGCACACAGTATGAATTACAATTCGTTTTATTATACTCCTGGTTGGTAGACAAAACTATGATCAGAATACCTACATTTGTTCAAAATCCTCGGCTCTAGTTGTGTCGATCTCTCAGATTCATATAGTAGTAATTACTTTAGTTTCCGCCTTCGGCAACCGATTATCGTGTAAGCTTGTGATTAGTAGCTCGTGACCATTTGATGTGCTCGTAACTTGACCCGAAAAAAAGAGAAAAAACGAGTGCAAACGAATGTACAGACAACGGCATCTTTATGCAAAAAAAAAATGGAAAAAAAAAGAAGAAAAAGAATGTCCGCAGTGCACGCGTGTGAAAGGGCATGTACCTATATAATAGCGGAAAAGTAACGTTATATAGAGAGTATACTATTACAATGAATAATGTGCGATGCGTATATGCGAAGTAGTACAGAGTTGGAAGCAAGCATACAGATGATCGCTGTGCAAGAAGATTTGTCTATAACGTCCCCGTTGCCTCGTATGTTTGCTCCCAACACGAAAGCAAAGGTCCTTTTTTTAATTTTTTTTTTTTAATTTACGCCTGAAGTGCGAATAATGCGCGCGTATGTGTGTGTGTAGACCGAGTGGCTGGCGAATATGCGAGAGAGTGTCGTTCTATTAAAGTTTCCCAGAAACAGTTTTCGCTAGCTTTTATCGCGCTATGAGAAATATGTTGTTATATTGATTGATATAATTAATGTTACGTACATGCACATATATGCACACGCGCGCAACCCACACACACATATATATATATATATATATATATATGTATGCCATACATACGTACATATGTACGTATACACATGCACGCATATCACACACACACGCGCGCACACGCACACACACACACACACACACACACACACACATACACACACACACACACGCACGCACACACACACGCACACACACATACATATATACATGACTTTCATAATTTGCTTTAGAAAATCGCTCGTCCTAAGAATGACGTACTCGACGTAGATATAAACTGCCAGACAAAATACGAGTACTATTTTTCTCTTATGTATATCTACGCAGCAATATGTTCATGGGTATAATTTTTATTGTTTATAAAAATCATATGTTCATTATTATATCATGTGTTTTGAAATAATTATCATTTTGAACAATCAAACTTGTACATTAGTGAATGCGTTATCATAAAATCGGATTGTTAGTCGTTTATTGCATTACAATAATACATCGTTAATCAAGATTTTAATAAGCGAAATCTGCTGCTGCTGCTTAGTAATAGCAACGTTGAAATGTAATTTTATATTGTACTTATCAGGCGACGTGATAACGTCGCGATGCCATTTTATCATTACGTCGAGTATATCATGACACTTTAGAATTTAGATTTATAAATTTTTCATTCACAACTCTATGATTTTGCAAAATACAAAATTTGTTAATGAGTGAAAATAAAAAAAAATATATGATTCTGGAAAAGATGCAAAAGACTAAATATTGAAAAAAGAAAAAGTATATATACATATATATTAATGTTATCACATTAACTGGTTAATTAATTACAGCTTCCTGAGATATTTATCATTTTCAACAAAAGATGAAAATAATTATATTTGAAGCTGTAGGATTGTATCTAATACATTTTATACCTATGCATCTTTTTCACAATCCATTGCTTATGTACCAAACGTATAGATGTTTCAATTTAATTGCACAAGTAAATTTATATACATATTATATATATAAAAATTTATTTTAGTACATGTCGATAATATATGTAAGGAAAAATATTAGTCAGGATGCTTACGAGACATTATGTTGATATGCAACACTCCTGATGTGCATATAAATATAGCTTCTACCGTTGCCTTAATCACTGTAATATGTACAATCAAGAATAATGAAAGGTACATTAATACATAAGATTATACATCCTGATGGGTAATAAACACAGTACATCGATACCTCATGTATTGCATATTGCGGCAAATTAGCATATAATACACTTCAAGAAAATTCATATATAAAATTGCCGGGCTGGTAGCAGAGCTAGTGAGGCCGCAGGGCAGCGGCGCCGTCGCGCGGCTCGGTTCACCTCGCCGTCGCACATCATTTTTGTATCATCATACCATACATGATCCATGGGACCATCATTTTGTACCATCCTACCATACATGGTCCACGGGGACCATACCGTGCATGGTCCATGGGACCATCATTTTTGTACCATCCTACCCTACATGGTGCATGGGACCATCATTTTGTACCATCCTACCATACATGGTGCATGGGACCATCATCATGGTAGCAGAGCTAGTGAGGCCGTAAAGCGAGCCGAACCGGTCAACGACGTTGTAGCGTCGGCCAACGATGGAGATTCTAGAACGTTCTAGAAGTTTCCAAAATATTCTTGAAGTTCGTGTCGTAATCATAGGCCACGTGATCGTCGTTTCTAGAACGTTCTAGAAGATTGTATAATTTTCTGGGATATTCCAGAATGTTCTAGAAGATTGTGACATGGTCACCGGCCACGTCGTCGTCGTTTCACGTAGTTGTTTTTAGTTGTATGTGTTTTTAGTTAAATATCATATATTTCTCTTGCATGATTTAATTCTGGTTGATTCATTTCTTGTAAATGATCCCCTTTTATACAGATAGATTATACGTAAGAACAGGCATTGCTAATGTAACATAAGATGGTACTCCTTAATAGTAATACCGCATCTTGTACCCTGTGTTGAGCAACATATTCTTCGCGACAATCTTCTTATTTCACGAGTATGAAACATACTGATCTTGAGACGGTCTTGATTGAATAAGACCGACTTAACCAAGATCATCTTAAGTGCTGACTTGAGACTCGACTATGAATACGACCCTATGAATACGGGTATAAGGTCTCGAAGTCGTTCTGAAGTTATTCCGAGAACATTCGAATGTCCGCAAGAATCTCCGAGACATCTGTTGGAGATCTTTTACTATATATAGATTAACTTGCAGAAAAGTTGGATAACTTTTTTGTCGACAAGTATAATAATGCATAAGATTTATATTACCTGTACATATTTTGAGACATTTTCTCTGGAATATCTCGAATTTTGTAATTTTATCTCCAGATTCGTAATCAGCGACCCTAAAAACCCCTTACTGACTAGTTCAATGGAAGACAAGTTTGACGGAAATCACACGTAATATGTACAAAGGGTGTTGAAATAGTGCTTTCATCTTCAGGGATCAAGGGGTGATTTCCACCCTTAAAATGCGTTGTCAGCCGATATAAAAGAACATATGTTTAATATTTTTCAATATTCTACGTGCATGCCAAATTTCATTGGAATCGATGAGTGACAGTTGGGTAGTGTTACTTGTAGGAGACATACACACACACATCGACCTGTTTTCTGTATTAATAATCTTTGATATCTTTCAATACCTTATTTCCATTATTTCATATCTGTTACCATGCTAATTAAGTTTCATATTTCGGCCACGATATTCCTAAGAGGGCGCTAGTGCACAGCGAAATTTCTCTGGTAGTACGCTAAATCCCGTAAGGCCAACAGTCTTTATAGTATCTCGTCGATGCTACAACTCATATTCCAGCGAGCGTGCACTAAAGCCCGTGTCACACTACGGATTGAAGATCAAGGATTGCGGATTGAAGATTGAAATTTGACCAATCGGATTAAAGCAAATCAAAACCGGTAGTTCGTTGATTTGTCGAAATTTAATCTTCAATCCGCAACTCTTGATCTTCAATCCGTAGTGTGACACGGGCTTAAAGCCAGCGGCACACGGTGCTTGTTTTCGGTGATGGATTGCTTGCTGGATGAAAATACTGCGTTCTGATTGGTGCATTTCCATCCATCTTCGGAAATGTACCAATCAGAACGCAGTATTTTCATCCAGCAAGCAATCCAGCACGAAAACAAGCATCGTGTGCCGCTGGCTTAAAATTCCTGCAACTTGCTCGTTATGTAAATGCGCCAATATATGGGCGCGTCGAGCGTCCAACCAATCAGTTTTTCATTTCTTATTCTGGGGATAAAAACAAAAAACTTTGATTGGTTGGACGCTTTGACGCTCGACGTTCGACGCTCCTCCCATGTACTGACACCTTAACTTGCTGCGGAAGAAACTATGGACCTGGGTTCCTATTAAGGTCATTCTACAATGAAGTTGTAGTAGTATGCAATAGGCAAATTGACCAATCACAGTCGATTATTCTTCGATGGTAAAGAGAACAATCGATCGTGATTGGTCAATTTGCCTATTGCATTCTACTACACCTCATTGTAGAATAACCTTTATGGAACTCGTCGGAATCGATTCCGACCGGAATAATTCCCCTTAGAAAAGACAATAGAAATCTGGGAAATAACGGAATAAATTACCCTGCTACACGGCAACGTTAATCCCGATTAGTAATTACCGTAATTAGTGCAGTCTCGAATCCGATTAGAGTATATTTTTAGATCTAAAAGAATATACCAATCGGATCAAAGAATTCACTAACTACGGTTGTTATTAATCCAGATTAACATTGCCGTGTAAACGTAGTTTGTGAGAAAAATCCTACATAGACTGCGTTCCGATTTTTACTGTCAGTACTGAAAATCTACAATATACGTGACATAAAGTATATATTTTCAATACTGGCAGTGAATATCGGAACGCAGCCATGGACTGCGTTCCGATTTTTACTATCAGTACTGAAAATCTATAGTATACGTGACACAAACTATATATTTTCGATATTGGCAGTGAATATCGGAACTCGGTCATATAGTCTGCTCTTTTTAGCTGCACTACTGAACTAGTGCAATAAGTTAAAGTGAGAAAATATATAGTTGTCTCATTCTAACTTATTGCACTAGTTCCGCAGTGCAGCTAAAAAGAACAGACCAATAGACGCAGATGACGGACGACATCGACAACGACAAATCGTCAATTTTTCAAAGCACACTGACGATTATGTCGATATATTAACAATCGTATCCAATAATCTTTTTATTTTTACTCTCTACGAACAATTAAAATCGAAAAGCTAATCTTAGCTTCAACTCTCGAATAACTTTACAAAAAAAAATGTATACTATGTACGAGAGACGTAAATTACAAAAAGTTCGCGCTTTCAAACTCCCAAGGAATGATCTTGGTATTTGACGCATCTCAGTTTACGTTTATGCAAGAGTGTAAGAAATATTTTGACTTTGCACAGGAAAGTGTACATGAACATTACCCAGAGACAGCACACGATCTCCTGAGGATGAAGAAACGTCCCCAGGACGTCCTTATTAAAACGTCCTCTGGAACATCTGTGCTGTTAGGGTACAAATCTCAAGCTATAAAATATTTATGAAAATATCTCAATATTATTAAGTAAATTATACTCACGGATTATAAATTAAAGCTTCGCGGATGCTGATTATTTCTTTCATATATCGATTATATGCATTTGCTCGAGATTCACACGGTGGTTAAAGTCAGACTCTTAGAAAAAAGCGGGAAAAAAGAGAAATGAAAGATAAACGTTATATACATATATACACAATATATATGTATATATGTATGTATGTGTACATATATATATATATATATTTCTTATATTAGCAGAGAAAATTTGACGAAACGCGAAATAAAGTTGTTTACTTTGCAAAGAAATGCATGCGTTCAACGTGTAAACGGTACTTGAGCGCGGATAACTGCGTCACACATACCGTATGTAAAATACAATACGGGGTGGCGATCCGTTTATCCGTATGCGAGCGTGTACAAAGTATCGGCGTCAGTACGCGATAATTAGTAATTTCCGTTAGTCGCTATTTGTTTCTCCTCTAGGCGATTACCTTGACCTCTATCTCCAACTCGAAGCGGGTATGTATGTGTTTGTCGCGACGATTTCGAAAGGTTATTCCACGTTCCTTAACCTAATGCACGCATCAGTCGTTCGCGGTATCGTTGAGATGTGATTCGAAAGCGACATTGTGTCTGTCCTCGAAGGGATTTATTATTTCCTTGACGTTGCACTCGCAATCTCCGATGGAGGTAATCTGTACACAACTACGATACTTTTGTGCCTGTCAATTATTCGTTGAATCTCATTGTCACCGTGACATTGTCGCGGGACGTTTGCATGAACATAAAAATCGACAAGAGATAAACCCCCGCTAAATTGATTTGCATATATGAGACATGATGATATGTTTGTTGCACGGGCACATTGTTGCGGAAGATGCACAATTGTTATCAATTTTCTCTACATTGGTTGAAAACTTTTAAGTCTGACTTTGTGTGTGTGTGTGTGTCTACAATTGCAGGGAAAAATGTCTGAGCAATTCCTAGGCTGTACAGTTTCTGTAAAGTGTATCGATGATCTTGGAACTTATCAAGGTAAAATTATTGATCTAAATAAGAATAGCCTTACATTGGCAAAGGCATTTTGCAATGGTATGCCGCACACTTCCTCCGTTGTTAAGTTGAGGTAAGATTCCAATTTTTGTTTACTTGTACTGTTGTAAAATAGCAAACTATAATGCAATAATAATAACAAAAATAATGATAGATGTCTTATAAATGCGATCTGAACTTTGAAAATTGATATAATTAACTTGCCATGAACATATGTGATTGAATGTAATTCTCTTTACAGTGTAAAAGATATATACAACGTTGAGATTATATCAACGGAGGAAGTAGGGACGAACGATGTCCAAGCTCAGAGTAAGGTGATTGTAAAGAGGCCCATCGCCAAAAGAGCAGGGAGGTCGATTTCGGAAAGTGTTTCATCCATGATGCAAGCTGGCGGTTCTCAGCCGCAAACGAATTTCAGAAAACCTGTGGAGCCCAATCAACAACAAGTAGAGCAAACCACAAACGGGAAAATTATATCGGGTGTGTATTGCGATACATATTGTATCATATATGATTTGCGCGCGCGCGTGCGTTAAATTAATTAATAAAAATGTCATTGTAGTGGAAAGTAACATACCAAACAACAAAGCTATTCCAAAGAGATTGACTCACAGACAAAGGGCATTGGAGAGAGATGAGCACACCTTTGGTACTCCGATCGATCAATCCCTGAATCAAGACTTTGATTTTGAAAAGAACTTGGCTTTGTTCAACAAAGAAGTGCGTCCACACGTCGCGCTAATGCAGCGCGTCGATCGTGTATATTTATTTTATGCGACTTTTCTCTCTCTCTCTCTCTCTCTCTCTTACAGGCTGTATGGCAAGAAATCAATTCCCTTAAGCCGGACATCGTTCGACAGTCGGAAAACAACAGGGGCACCACTGCGATCTACCGACCCGACGAGAACATTCTCGTGTCCGAACCGACGATGCTGCATCAGATCGTAGTGCCTTGCTCCGGCGAGAAGGAATACGTGACCGATAACGGTTTGGTCATTCCTAGCATCACCCTCAATCTCCATCGCCAGTTGATAGGTGCTGCGGACAGATTGGGGATAAGTTGGGAACGTAGGGTTCGTATACACTCGCACGCTACCTTCGAGATCAGCTCTCTCTCTCTCTCTCTCTCTCCCACTTCGTCTGGCAACTGGTTTTATCTGAGAGCAACGCGAGACAAGGTGTGATCTCAAGACGCGACACGTTCACCGTGGCCGAGAAACTCCTCGGGAGACACGACTTTGCTCCACGTTCCACAGCCAAGTAAAAGGTTGCCACACGAAGCTCTCCGCGCTTATTCTAGCACTGATCAAACTGCTTCCTTCCTCCCCGAAAGGTGGAACTTCTCGGGCGCGCTGGTGCTGAACTCATCCTGCAGCTACTGGGTGGGAGTCATCGGTTGAATCCAAACAACGCGCACCAGTGGCCGACGGTAGTCGCGCTGTGCGGTCCCCACCGTTCCGGCGCAGCCGGCATTAACTGCGCCCGCCAGTTGTCCAGCCACGGCGTCAAGACGATCGTGTTCGTGGAGAATTCGGAGGACGTGTTCCTGTTGCAGGAGCTCTCGCTGTACAGGCTAACGGAGAACAAAGTCGAGACGAAGGTGAAGAACCTGCCTGCTCTCGTCGATCTCATCCTCGTGGCCCTCTGCGACGAGGACTCGTCGCGGATGATCACCCCGATCGCGAGATGGGCCAACAGCAACAGAGCGCCCGTTCTCGCGATCGAGCCTCCGGCGACGGGTACACCCGGTATCATCAGTAAATTCAGCTTACTGGGAGCCCTGCCGTTGTCGCACAGCGCCGACAACGGCAGATTGTATCTGTGCAACTTGGCGTTGCCGAACAAGGTGTACTCCGACGTCGGGATCACGTACAAATCGCCGTTCGGCCCGAAGTTCGTAATTCCGTTACATTCCAACGACTCTTAGCAGATTCTCAGCAGCCACGTCGTGTCTTTTTAGATAGACGCTTTTCTCTCATTTCACCCGAACCGCGCGCTTCTCGTGTGGACGGGGCGATGTTCGCTACCATCCACCACGGCTTCGGGCTTGTCGGGGGCTAGTTGAAATGGCGCGAAGATAGATACGGTGTTTCATACGGAATTTCTACGGCGGACTTTCACGGTGGCTTCAACGTGCACCCCTTTCTCGTCTCTCCCTCCCCCACACACATACATTCTCTCCTATGTCGTCGTGTAATGTCCGCGACCGGACGTTGTAACGCAACGCGTACCGCGTCTCCTGTTGCGCCTGTCGATAAGTTAGAGGGTTGTACTGCATTTTATAATAGTTATCGCATTATTACGGGACACACGCGCGCGTGTTACACAGGTGAAGAAAACTGGAAAAGGCAAAAAAAGAGAGAGATAGTCGTTTCGCCCGCCCGAGGATGCGAGAGAGCTTGTGCGGTCAGCAGTTTTATTGGTGTCAAGCGTATGTGACAGAAAAAAAATATATATACTTATATATATATATATATATATATATTGTGTGCGTAGATAAAGCGGGAAAACACGCAGAAAATGTACTCGTAAATTACTTCCTTACGGTCATAGTTCCATTATTATTGCGGCACGATTTCGTGACAGTGTACACACGTTTGATACGTTTGAGAGGAGAACAAATAGTGACACACGCCACTCTGCACGTCTCGCGTGTCCGCGGTTTGTTTATATCGAACGCACGATGTGGATCAAGGATTAAAAACGCGACGAGTCCTCGCGAGTCACTGACGAGACACTGAATCCCCGCAGTGTACCCTCGCGTTCGTTAGGTCTAAGCAATGAGCATGTAACAAACACTATAAGCGCGTAGAGCCGTTATTGAGTTATCCGATGTTGCGTGGTACGGGGAGAACTTTACAGCTGGAGAAGAAGAGAAGCATTAGGAATGAAAGAAGAAAAAAGGAAAAAAAAAAGAAAGAGAAATCGGAAAACGTTAGATGATGACTTGTGCAAGAGAAAATCTATAAATATTTTTTTAATCATTTGTAACGTACTACTCTTGTGTGTGATTGTTGGAAAATCGTGAAACGGATAATCGATTAACGACAGTTTTATACTTAACATCTACACTTCGGTATTCCTCGGTGATCCCGTGTATTGTGTTGTACGCGCGCACCGAACGTTGTTTCGATTTTTATCAGGGAGTGTTTGCAATACCGTCTCTCAGATACGGTAACATTAATTTTAGAACTTAATCGTGAACGTTATGATTCGCTCAGAAATAACGTCGCCATGTACGCGACCAATAGCATTGACGATCAACGTTTACCGTATCTGGAGAGAGGGTATTGTAAAATCTCCCTACTACCAGTGTCTCGGTAACGCGCGATTATATTCTAACGCACACAATATCGTCGACCCAATTGTCCCCCGAGCGCGTTACGCGAAGTAGCTATATATTGAAATTTGTGTTCCTTTTGTACTGATTTTTAAAAAAAAATAGTTTGATATTAAAGTATGGAATGTGCTTCTGTGACGGTCGTCAATTTACGTAATCTAAGTAATTATACATACATATAATTCTACAGGTACGAGATGATAAGAATAATTTTGCATAGTAGTTTCTCGCGCACCCGACGATTGAGTGTGATCCGACGATTGAATAATTCGTGTTCACGAAACGCATTGCAGCATTTTAAACGATTTATTCGGAAGTATACATATGTTATATAAGACATATTTTAGTATAATTATTATAGTAATTTATTAATATATTATATTTCTCACAATAGAGTCGTTGAAAAAAAACCGATGTCAGCTGACTAATTGTATAATCATTGCTATAAATGATTAGTGTCTGTATGTTTGAGAGAAGTCGATCCAATTCGGTAATTCAAAGGCCATGTTAAATTTTATAATCTATATCGATTCAGTGTGCAAGAGAGAAAGAAAATAAAAATACACATACGTACTTTCCACGAAACCAACGTCTTTTTCAATTCTATATAGCGAACTTGAGGATGGAGAAGGGTACTCGTGCGAAATTTACACGCGAGGTAAAATCTCACAGAAAATACGACGGGCTTTAACTTACGCGTTACGATTCTACCAATTGCTGCTAATTGTCGAATCTAGGCACAATGGACTCAGGTCTGGATGTCGCGGTCAATCTTCGCGAAGATTCGTTCCTATTTTCCTCATTCTTACTTCTAATTGTTACATTAATTATTATACTTAATAGCTTGATAGCGTAATCGTTGAACTACTTTGTATCAGCGACACGTCAAATAAATTGTAAAGCACAAAATAGTCGACCAATATTTATCGGACGAATCATTTCTCTTCGTGTGAAAAGGAACCGGCGAAGGAATAATCACGCGGAATAGATTTGTGTATGGATACAAAACTTTTTTTTTCCTTTAATTTTAATCGTGAACATGTCTTAGTTTATGGAAATTTACAACTATTACATGGTTAAAAATACACGGACTTTGAGGTCATTGTGATGCTGAGAACTACAACAACCGGACGTGAGTAACAGTGAGACGAAAGTTAAAAGGGGAGGGAACCTATATTTATTGTCAATTCTTTTAAATGCAGATCGAACCGGCACACCTTAGATTTATAAAAATACTTCGCTACTGCAGTTGAACCCGTTTAAGTTGTGATTATTTAAATTGACCTAGCATGTACGGCCGCACTATTTATTTGCATTTTTCTCTTAGATGTGTAATAATTGAACCCGTCGATCGGCGTAAAGAACACGAGGAACTGCGTATGCTCTATATACGATTAAAAACTATACTATTCATATACGATATATCTTACTACCTGGAATTTTTGAACGACTTTCCATATATAAATTTTGTACGAATATATATCTCTCACATCTACACAGGCTGTGATTATTGAGACGTAAAAAAAAAAAAAAAACAAAAAAAAAAAAAACCGGTGTCTCTTCTCTTTTTCTAAAATATTAACCTGCTACTTTTTGCGGCGATGCTGCATCATTAGCGACACTTTCCGTATACTCTAAAACGCACTCGTGATCAAACGCAATCTTTTTCCTTGATCAGAGTTACAGGCACATCGTAAATCTCTCTCATCTTTCTTCCCTCAAATATATCTCTCCCTCTATTGCGATTCATAGCCGAAAATCAATCGACCGACGTTTCACTTGATTCTCTTACGTGAACCTCTAACGATTATTCCCTTGCACAATCGTAAATATTTATACAACAAATACGTGAACAAGATTAACACGTTCCGTGCCGCGTCGGTCACCCACGCGCGATATGAGCCACGCGGCACTGATGACAAGTCGCATAAAATTGGTCCGACACGGAACGCGTTAGGACAAAAATATATATATATACAATTTTTATATCACTATCTCTCCCTAACGATACAATATTCTGATCTACACACTGATCTACACTTATTCCGTAGCACACGATCGTTCTCGGACGAAGTATGATTTGTAACACTTGTGATTTAACCTTTTCAGGGCTACTGATACATTCACGTTTAGATACTTCACGTTAAACTTTTCATTTTCATTTTCCAAACATCGTCGACAACATATAATGAACATTATTACTGCGAGTCAATATCTACCCCATAAGATTCTACGAAGGGAATTCCGTCATATGACAGATGTCATATTTGTTAAATTAAAAAATTAAGTCTTTTTTCTTTTTTAAATTAGGTCTTAACTCTTTGCATTCAAGCCTTGTGAGTGTGTGTAGGTTTCGATGTTCTACTCCACCATAACGATAACATTGTGTTAAATTAAGAATACAGACTATGTAACAAATTACTGTTAAATCCTTTTTCCATTCACTTTGATAGTATGAAATATATGACAGACGTTACGAATCTGCACGCGAGATCCACGAAGTAAATTTTCAACATCGCGCAAGAGTATCTGCGGAACGCAAAGAGTTAAATTCAGCCTCAATATCGTGCCCGGAATATAATATACATCTCGCAATCCTTCGAGAGCCAATTTCCCTCACTGCGACTGTTTAACAAACCCTTCACAGAGACTAAATATATGTAAACCTAACTACGTGTGTACTTGTATGTATGTATATATATATATATATATGTATGTATATTGGAATAGAAATTATTCAACTTCTAAATTGATTGCATTATATTATAGCTACACCGAGCGGGGAGCTCGGTCCTCTCTTGAACCGACGTGGGTAATGATAATGGAAATTGGAAATACACGCGTACGTTTGAAACGAGCTGGACGGGCACCAAAGACGATATTACGTGAGATGACACTCACTACGCTTGATATTTATCGGCATAAATACACACACAAACATCGCGCGTTTGATTAACCGATGATGGTTAAGCACGCAAATTCTCCAGTGTGATAATGAAATATGAGCAACTATCGCTGCAGCTAGTCGTAACGCATAGCGCACGGTAAATAGCATGTACGTTATTGTATTTGCATTTACGTTTGCGCAGAAATCGCGTGTAATATCTGCGAAACGACCGTCTTGTTGTCGACGTCTACATCAGAACGTATCTACTATATATGTATATACAGAGACATACTCGAGAAGCAACACTCCACTTGGTTGCACATGTACTTTTTTTTCCAAGTGCAAGTGCTATCGGTTTAACACGCTCGCCACCACGCGACCTCGATTTTCACGAGAGACCAACGTCACCTATGCGTGACAGTGATCTATTTTTATCCCATGTCCATATAGATATTTTACACTCCTACATAAACAAAAAGAAACGTAAAATGGAGTGGTTCGCAGCGGATAATTTTCCCGATGAACCGTGGTAGGCGAGCAGGTCAGATTTTGTCAAAAGATACGTATAAGTGGTGTACCATTTGTCAACTCAAGGCCATTTTTCTAAAGGCCGTTATATTGGAATAATCATAATTACTAAGCCTACAACCATGGCGGGAGCTGACCTAACAAGCGCCCGATGAAATATCTCGTTAATAACCGATAATTGTGTGACTCGCTCTTTGTTCGCGCGTACGAGTTGGTTTTACGCGGTTAGCATATTTTAAAAAATGTTCAATATACAGAAGTAATGTGTATCTGTGTGTATGTATAATAACACACACACACAGCGTTTCTAATAATCAAACGCTAATAAGCGTGACGGTACACGCCTCTTCTGCGCATATCGGCGGTCTAAGTTAAGCACCCTTCGACACTATTTCGACTATCCTACTCTGGAATCCCTTGCGCTTGGTGAGATGTAGCAGTCAGAAAACGATTCTCGTGGTGACCACGCTGTATCGGACGCACCTACGTAAGAAGACAATCCACTTCCGTCTGGTTCCGAAGATGGCAGCGTCCTCCTCCTAGGAGGCGGCCGTCGGGCTGGCGGCCGGCGGCACCGCGTTCGCCTCTTTCGCGCGTCTCCGTTTGTTCAGCAGCGGATTGTTCGTGTGGTCGAGCTGCTTCAATCGCGCCGTGTCGTAGTCCACGCGCATCGTCGCCAGCGATCGCGTCATCTCCTCCTGCACCTCAGGCCAAGACTCCTCGCCCTCGCGTAAAACGCGCCCAGTGTGCAAGGGAGTGGCGGGCACCTCTGTGTATCTCTGTGAAGAAAAAAACCAGTCGTAAGACTTGAAGAAGCTCACAGGGGAGTGAGTTGATAAGTTGATTAATCGTTACTAAAATATCATTAAGGTACTATTCAAGAGAGTCAGGTGAATTAATCAAGTAAAAATACACTCTTGATGGTGTGCCAATGAGACCAGATGAGATAGAAAGAACACGAGAAGCTGCCGTTGGGCGTTGCGATAATTTAAACTTAGCGGGAGGGACAATGTGTGTGTTTGACTGGTAACGCGCGCCGGACTTCTTCCCGGATCTTCATGTGCTATCTTTCCGCTGAGTTAAAATTATCGCATGCAATACCCAGCTGAGCCGATCAAGTGATCCAATGGCAACAAATGTTCTTACGGCAATCCACTTGTTGCGCATCACATCGTCGATCTGCAACCTCTGCGCCGGGTCTATGCAGAGCATACCCTCGATAAGATTCCGCGCCTCCTTGCTCACGTTCGACCATTCCGGCGAGGGGAAGTCGTACTGTCCTTGCCGTATCTTCTTCTTCATCCCGGGCGACATCGCGTGCCCGTGCATGCTGTAGAACGGCGGGAAGCCGCACAATCTGAAACAGCCGTGGATGCGGTTACGAATGTAACTCGTGCGGCGGTGGCACGTGGCTTCAATCGCGATTCATCAACGGGACAGTGCAATCTACGACTAGAATCTAGAATTGGAGCAAACAATACGGCGGTACTCACAGTATGTACATGATAACTCCCAGCGACCAAATATCACAGCTCTTGTCGTACTTTTCCGTTCCTAGAACTTCCGGGGCTGAAAACAAAATGACAAGCACATGTTGAATTGAAGAGAGAGAGAGAGAGAGAGAGAGAGAGAGAGAGAGAGATCGATACACGATCTTCTTTTAACTTGGATGTACTCTTGATGAAATTTAAATTGTAAAGTTCAATTGAACTTTTAATTAAATTCTATTCAATCGTTGAAATTTTCTTAATTTAAGCACACAAATATATATATATATGGTTCAAGTATGCGAGAGCTTACCGACGTAGTAAGGCGTGTAACATGGCGTCTGCAGCGTGTTGTCTTTCGAAAAAGTTTCCTTCGCGAAGCCGAAGTCGGTGAGTTTTAGGATGCCCGTGCTATCTGTAGCCACAGAACGCAACACGTCAATAAACTCGATGTTCTCGTAGAATCCCATGGCGACGTGAGAGCGTACTCTATTCAGCTATAGAGAACGCCAAGATATCGCAAAGATAATACGGTTACGGTGTATAATTCACGCATGGCAGAATAGAGTCTATCGATATCAATCTCTGCAGTGTGTATACAGATAGACATTATCGTGGTCTTCACATTTCAAGGTTCACAGATAAGCGCGCGTGTGACTCCGCGGAGCGTCGCCGGCTGATAACAATGTTTCCAAAGCTGCATCGACAACACCTCGGGTAACTCGATTGATTGCAAAAGCTTGCGCAACTCACCGGGTTTAGAGTACAACAGATTCTCGGGCTTCAGGTCCCTGTGAGCGATGTTCATGTCGTGTATATACTTCACCGCCGCGCAAATCTCGTACATCACCTCCGCGGCTTCTGCAAGAGACAGCGCACGATTTTCGCGTTATGTATCGCGTTACTTCTCTTTTGTTTCTCTTTTCTTTCCGCAAAATCTTACGAGTGTCGAGCGCGAAGAAGCCGTACCTCTTTCGGTGAAAGCACCGTCTTGTCGGTCCTGTATCCTCTGAAACAGCTCGCCGCCCTCCATGCTGAAAGAAGAATCGAACATGAAATTTGTACACTTCTTCTCACTCCGCCACGGCGGAGAAAATTGTGCGAAAACATCCGGGGTGTGGGTCTCACGTACCATTCCATAACTACCAGCAGACACTTGCAGCCCCCGTAGCTGTTCTCGTACACATCTTTCACTTGGACTATATGCTTGCAGTCCGACGCTTTCCAGTGAAGTTCGACCTCTCTTCGTGCCTTGACAGAATCACGCAGGACCTGTAACAAAAGACCCTCATCAATCATCTATGAAAAAGAACGCGTAAATGTCTTAAAAAAAAAATATATATATATATATAAATAAAAAAATTAATTTAACAGCTAAGCGCAACGCGACAGTTTGAGAAGAGAGCGAGAGCGAGAGAGAGAGAGAGAGAGAGAGAGAGAGAGAGAGAGAGAGAGAGAGAGAGAGAGAGAGAGAGAGAGAGAGAGAGAGAGAGGGGGGGACGAGAAAGAGACATTAGTTTCTATTGTCTATCTCGATGAATCCGCTGCGTCATTCGACCGCACGCGTAATCGTCTCGCGTCCAGCCATTCGACATATCGCATCGTGCAGTGTATTTCGGTTACGTGCATATCATCGTCGTTCGCAGGTAAAGCTTGACTCACACCGGCGTATAAGCGTGTTTATCGCGCGAGGCGACCGACGTCACCGGCGTGGGGATTCCTAGATAAGGTCTCCTTTTTTTCCTACGTCTCGTCTTAAGTCCCTGCCGGACAGACCGTAATAGAGAGCATCATGTGCAACGGCTTGCGTCAGCAAAGCGATGATTGATAAAAATCCGACGATTACGTAACTCGATAAACGCGCGATTAACGGTATCGCGAAACACATTGCGAAGAGAGACTCTCAACAAGCGAGGAAGAAAGAGGGAAACGACGAAGGACGACTTCAACGTTAAATGCTATGTCGATCACTGCAAATCGTCGCGTCAGCAATTCAGCGAGAGACCCGAACTCCGGCATTGAATTCACGGACAGGCACTGCCCGGCGATCTCGTTACTCAACCCAAGTTATTCGTTCCGATCCACGACAGGTGTGGTGAGCCTTCAGCCTTTTTGTTTCAAGCCCAAGATTGTGGTTTCATTTCGCGGCAAAACTTATTTATTAAAGAAAAAAAAAAAAGAAAAGATAAAACTTCCCCGAGAAGTTCCAAGCGAGCTCGCCAGATTCCAGCCGTTAAGACAGCGTGGAAAATTTCTTCGCCAGAAGTTGCCAGGATTCGAAGCAGACAGCTAAAGGCTCAGCGCAATTTTCGAAGACTGACAAAGAAAGGTAGAGAAGCCGGTAATTCAAAAAATCGTGAAACTTTGTGCGAAGGTAAAGTAGTTCATCCGTAATACAAAACTATATTTTGTAAAATTGGAGGAGGGGGCGGAGGGGGTTTGAAAAATTTTTCAATTTTGCGAAATCCGAATACACAGTTGCAAAGGGTATGAAATACACTACAACTTTCATATAAACTACTATTTTCGTATATTACTCCCGTATTTTAAAAGATATACATTAAAAATGAAAGTGACTTTTCTTGTTCGAAGGGTGGTTTCACCCCCTCAGACTGGGACAAACGCACGAACAAAAAATAGTCTTGCATTACGGACGAACTACTTTACTTCCCACACAAAGTTTCATAATTTTTTGAATTTTCGGATTCTTCCTGTGTTTTTCCTTGTGAGTCTTCCGGAAGCGTCCGGAGCTGCCCGAGAGCCATCATTTCGGTCTTCGCTGACTCCCGGGGGCCCGGTCGAGGATGAGAAGGCGGGACGAGCCGCTCGGGGAAAAAACCGTCATTAGGAGAGCCGCGAGGATCGAAAGCGCATTTCGGTGTTTCCCGCTCGAGCGCGCCGCGTCGCACGGAGTCGTCACCTTTGCGCAGACTTCGGATTTTCTCACACAATGCGAGGAGGTGAATGACACACGCGCGTCGTCGACGGGCTACAACACTGATTGGTCAATCATACGACGAACCTGTCTCTCGTCTCACTCGCCACACACAATTTCTCGCCGATTGAGCGGCCGAGGATACGCGCGCCAAAGCCGCCCTTCCTCTGCGAGCGGACGACCGCACGTTCGCGCAATTGCGCCCTTTTCAAGCGCGATCTTCTCGGGCAATCACACGGATTCATCACGCAGATGTTCATGGCAACGCGACGGCGACGGGGACCTGAAATAGCCGCTGCTCGGGGACCGAAGCGAGTGACAAAGGCGATTCATTAGCGTCAGCGTGATTTCACAAATCCGGCGTTTATTAGTGCGTCGACGCTTGATTTATGCAACGTTGTCAGGGACGACGATACTCACCGACGTACCCTCGCACGGGCCGTGCTAATTACGGCGACGTGCAAATACGTCGTAATTTTGTCACAATCTCTCAAGCCTCGGGCACGCGGCTTTCCGTTACTTTGAGTGTTCACGGAGAGAGAGAGAGAGAGAGAGAGAGAAAAAGATTAAAATTTACCTCACTATCATTCGTATCATCAGCAGATTTGAGGAACATGAACGTGTCATTGAATCTTTCTTCCTTCGATCGACGTGATATAAAGTGGATCGAGAACAAATATAAGTAAACAGGATCACCCGTGATTTTTGCGAGCCGACAATAGCAAGAAATCCGGAAACTTGAAAAATCCCTCTCTGCGCTTCGATTATCGATAAACGCGACGTGAATAATAGTTTGGTCAACCATTCTAGAGCAAGTTCTTCGAGAACGCATTGACATTAAGAGAAGATCACCTTTATCAAACGGTGGGATAATAAATGCCTGGTACTCACTTCTGATGCAAATAGCTTCTCGGGACTTCTTTCTCGAAATGGTCCGATATGTCTTGCCGCGAATTGAAATGGCGAGAGCGTGATACGCGAAATTAAGGTGGAAACGGTGACGTGCACGCGGAGGAGGATATCGAATTCTGATTCTCGGAGAAAGTGCGGTATTTCAGGTCTCAAGGTGATATATATTTACCGTGACGTAAGAGAGCAAGCGAACGAGCGAGAGAGAGAGAGAGAGAGATGAGTTTATTCGCTCTTGGGGTAAATACCCCTCAGAGCCTGAGAACAATACATAAGTATAAATGGCAAATGGGAATTAAAGTAAAGTAATAATTTGTCAGTACGAAAGAGAGAGAGAGAGAGAGAGAGAGAGAGAGAGAGAGAGAGAGAGAGAGAGTGTGTGTTTATTCGCTCTTGGGATAAATACCTCCTAGAGCCCGAGAAAAATACATAAATAATATATAAATAGCAAATGGAAATTAAAGTAAAATAATAATCTATCAGCACAAGAGAGAGAAACACACACACACACACAGAGAGAGAGAGAGAGAGAGAGAGAGAGAGAGAGAGAGAGAGAGAGAGAGAGAGAGAGAGATATCAAAGCGAAATTAGCGGCGAACGCGGAATGAATTTTTCGCAGGCTCTTCCGTAATTCTCGCTCCGTGAGACCATCTGAAAGCATTCGAGGGAGAGAACGTCGGGATACGTGCGAGATAGCGAAAAGCAAGCCGAAACCGGTTCCCCAGGATCTGTACCTAATCCGGATCAAAAGGCTGTCGACTCTGACTCCGGCGAGCGGAAAAATCTCGGGCACGCGTTGACTCACCCGCGTGTCGGCGGCCACGTGAGGCCGTGAGGAGAGGCGCGCAGGACATTAATTGAAAGAAGAACAACAAACCAACACGCAAGAATACCTTGATTACACCGGCCGCTCGCTGCTGCCTAAAAATACACCGCAGAGTCGCCGCATAGCGGGAGTCATCGGCGACGAGATGATGACGACGACGACCGACGACGACGACGACGACGATTCATGAATCGAGCGACGATCGCCGCCTTCGAGCCTTCTCAATAACAGCCTTCGCGGCTCATTAGCCGAGCGAGCGGCTTTTACGAGAAAATTCATTTTCCACGACCCGGCGAGCGGCGATTCGCATCGCCAGGCTTCTTCCGCCAATTTCAAATACGCGTGGGCGTGCGCGTTTCTCGCTGAAAATACCTAAGCGATCACGCGTGCTCGAAGGCGCGCGCGAGTGCCGGCACACGGCCGGCGTGCGGAGTCTGTGATAATGAAATTAGCACCTCTCTCGACTTGTGCGTGACGCTCTCGTCTCGCAGCACCGCGGAATTGTCACTCCGACAGTTCCTGGCGACGCACACAGCGGGGCCAGATGACACTCTTTGGTTGAACATTCTCTAGAGACCTGAATTTCCGACCGATCATCGACACCAGTGGATGAGGTTGATCCTGAATAAATTCCAAAGAGATCTTCTTGCCAAAATAAAAAAAATTTCTTCCTCGAATTACTAGCCCGAAAAGAGGAAAAACGTATCGTTAAACGCGAGAAACGCTTGTGAAATACTCATTATTCGACATTTATTTAAATCTAATAGTGGACTCAGCGGATTGAAACTATGAAACCAATCAACAGGCACCTCGAGATTAATCGATCTTGAATCAGAAATCCATTAACCCAAAACTCATATGCCCAGGATGCAAAAATTATCAAGTATAAGACCCGTTGAGCACAAAACCGAGGGGTTTTGAGAGTCTTAAGCCCATCAACCTAGGAATCTATCAATCCGAGAACTTTTTAGCTCGTGGATGTGTGAAGCCGTACACGTATATTAAGAGCCCCAAATAGTTCAAGAACTCAATCCAGCCATAGCTCGAGAGAACCTAATAATACTCGACGTTGAATATTCAGCTGTAAAACCGCGGATTTAAATTCGAGCCTCGAAACTTTTCAGACAAACCCTAAATCCATGAGAACCCTCGGATCGATAATTTTTTTTCAAAATTTCGGCTAGACAGATCTCTCTTTGGACCTCATCCATTGGTGTCGATGATCGGTGAGAAATTCAGGTCTCTAGAGAATTTTCAACCAAAAAATGTCACCTGACCTCAATGTGCGACGAATCAGATTATGCCGCTTCTCGCCGGGGACTCACGAGAATTTCACGTGCTCGCCGCTATATCAGTGCCGCTAACGTAATCCGATGCAGAGCGCGCGCGTCGACGTCACGTCACGGCGGATCGATCACCTGCTTTCCTCGTTCCGTCGAATTGTCTTACGTCGCCCGTCGCGGAATGAATACGTCGGGATTGATTGTGCGCCGACTTACAGTCGCCGTCTCGACTTGCCCGCGACTTTCTGATCGGTCGCAGTCTGTTTGATCGGCGTAACGATAATGACGCTTAACGAGATAACGATACGAGGAGGAAAGG